CCTCACTGGGGCGCAAAACGCACCGGCCGAGCCGAGCCGTGCCGAGCCGAGCCGTGCCGAGCCGAGCCGAGCCGAGTTTCAGTAGTTGCTTCACATCCTATCGCCAACTTCCACTTGCTACATTCAAATTGCCGCCATCCGCCGTGGGGCAGTCCTACCTACCGTCGTGGGAAAAAATTTTTTGCGGCTCATGTATGAGCCGAGCTGAGTTTTTGTAATTGCCGACTTGTCACTATTTCCTGGGCAGGTTCGCTTTCCTGGTGGGTTGGGCGGGAGGTGGTGCTGGGCTGTTGGGTGTGCGGAGGTTTGGGGTTGGGCATGACGTTCATCAGATTGGTCTAGCGATATTTTGCTTTTTGCGGGGCCTCGTGACTTCGAATCGAGAGTTCGGATTGGTCAGATCATGATGCATAATGCAGTTGTCTTTTTGGACTTGTTGAGGGAGCTGCAAAAATCTCATAGTAGTACTGCTCTTGCAACGTTTTTTCGCATGAATTCTGCACTGAGAAAGTGGCCATTTGGTTGCCGTGCAAGTGGCACGGTGGTTTCCAGCACCTCATAGGAGCAGGAAATTCAGGACAGTGCGATAACTTGCAGTTGAATCCATCGGTGCTCGAAAATAGAGAACACGAGTGCACCTGCTTCTCCGAACGTTGTTAGGTCAAATTTTGTGAAAACTGTGGCGTGGAGCAGATTTACAGTAGGTGAGGTTACCCCTCTGCCTCTAAGCTTTCGAGTTAGTACAGTTTTAGGTGCAAACAGTGACGTGACCGCACGCGCTGCACAAGCATGCGCAGTGGCTGAATTTGAAGTCTTCTGCTCACACAAGCAAATAGAATATCCCTGCAAAGTTTCAGCTTTCTATCATTCCTCCGTCCCCGCTCCCACTTCTTTTTGGAAGTTCATTGCTGCGCTCCCTCAACTTCGCTTGATTTCCTTGCTTTACCGGTATCCCCTTTCCCGTTTCATTTTCTTGCTCTTTGATTGCTTCCGGTTTAACAGGTCCCCCGCACTGTTGCATAACCGTCGTTCATCGTTGAATTATCGCAGTATCATCGTGATGTTTCCCCTTCGATTGTCACTCCGTGATGCTTCCTGTGCAAGAAATTAGAGGCTGAGCTGGGAAACGGTCCTTTAGCCTGCCACTCGATCCCTTCCCCCTTTATACCGTATTATCCAGTTTTTGCTTCCATACGACATCTCCGCCCCATTCCACTGACAGCAGCAGCAGGGTCAATTTCTCGGCACTTGCCTCCTCGGATTAGAGGCACATTTGTTGCAGATGTCACTCTTCTCACCCTCAGAACATATTGTTAACCTAAATGTTGGTGGCCAACGATTTGCAACGTCGCGACACACATTAACGTGGATTCCGGATACGTTTTTTACAAGGTTATGCATTTCACAGCGATTTTCTGGATTTTTACATGTTCTGTTAGCAGAGCGTGGGAAGTCACGAAGTGTGTGTGTGTGTGTTTGTGTGTGTGTGTGTGTGCCTTCGTTTCTCATAGTTTTCCCAGCGCACATTAGTTTTTGCAGCATGCGCTGGGCTTTTTAGCGCTCGTCGCTGGGCTGTCGGTGGAAATCTTTGAAAATATATGGGTTGTTAGAATTTATTTTCCGCTTGCCTCTTTTTTTTTTTTAATTTTTGGCTGTGAAATGTGCGTGTATTCGTCTTTTCGAGGGTGTTGCGCAATCCCATAGCATGAAATAATTGCGAGTGGGCCGATGCATCTCCGAGCACTGCGCTTCCCGGGATTTCCTCATCTAGCTTTCCTAGGCTCTGTGAGTTATGTAGTTGTTGATTGAACAATTTTACACTGTTTATTATGGGATTAAAATTTCAGTTTGCTGAGTGGCAGGATTCCAACAGTGCGCGACGAGACAGGCGCTGTAAGTTGTCACCGCTTTTGACCGGTTCCTTAATGGACTTCAGATTGTACTTCTCTTTTTGTTTTAAATTCCTTCATTTCCCGGTTCTTCCGGGGGTTCGATTTTCCCGGTGCCCGAAGCGTGACTGGATTTGTGTTTTCAGGTCTTTATTGATCGGGACCCGGAAATATTCCGGAAAATTTTGAATTATCTCCGCACCAAGCAGATTGATTTGAGGTAATCATTTGAGCAGCAGCTGTTGATTCTCATTTAGCGGCAGCTTCGTGTAATGCGTAGTTTTGCAGTGGCGCGAGCATGACCAGTTTAAAGCATGAGGCGCAATACTACGGCCTGGGACCACTGGTAAAGCGATTGACACTGTGTGAAGAATTGGACGAGTGTGCTTGTGGCGATGTACTTTTTCATGCTTTTCTACCACCACCACCGTTGCCACTAAACGAAGGTTTGTTGGCTTTTTTTTTTTCTGGCGCATGTCCAGGATTCCGCTGGAACTGGTATTCAGGAGGACATTGTCGATGCATTGCATGTGTTTCAGGCGATGCCAATTCGCTGCCAATTTGTACGCGAAGCAGCCAGAATCTCTTAAGCGCTTCATCGGGTTCGCGTGGATTAGTACCAGTGCCAGCTCCTTCACTTCACTCCCGAAATTTGAGCGAACCTGTGGCGCTGCCAACTAATGAGCCGGCCGCAAGCAGTGTTGCATTCAGCACATCGCAGCAGCCCCGTCCGTTACCGAGTATGGAAGCAAAATTTCAAGTGAGGCTTCCCGGGTTCAGTTTCTTTTACGGCTGCTTTGTATCGTTTGTTGGCTTAAAATTTTAGTTTCTTTGTTGTGTTTACACTAAAAATTATGGCAGTGAAGTTCGGACGATTATGAAAAGAAGCCAGCGAAGGTATAGTTGATCAAAGATTAGTGAAGTTTCACTTGTTTATTGCATTTTGCCGTTGAGTTAGAAAAGGAGGTTGTTACATTCTTTGCATTTCACTCAGCTGCGAAATTTATGGCTATCGATCACTTCAAAACACCCGTCAAGCCAAACTTATCTTTCACTAGTGCTCTATAAAATGCATCCGTTCGGCGATCATAATTTTTTGTACCCTCAGTACTAGTGTTAAGACTGACGATTATGCCAGGCAATTGCAGGCAGTTCTGGTAATCATTTGCTGACATGTGCAGGCATTTCTCTTAACAGAGTTCCTCTGCAGGGGCGCTTGTTTTTCTAATTACAGGTTCCGTTTCTAGAAGATGCAGCAACAAGACAAGGAGCAAAATCTGCTGCTCAAAATTCACCGCCAAAACAACGCTCAAATGCTGGCGAAGGTAACTTTTAAAGACCACTGGTGAAGGTAACTTCTTGCTTGGCAACAAAAACCCTTACATAAGCCCCTCTTCCCCTTCCCCTTCCACTTCCTCATCCTGTAACTTTCGTCCCTGTTCCCAGTTCTTATTTTCGAGCAAGGTTTCAGCTCCTTCCCAATTAGTACCCTCATCTCACTGGGACCTAAATCTCCAGCACAATCATTGCGACTCAGCCCTAAACCAGGCTAAGCCGAACCAAGCCGAATTTCAGTTATTCCATTATGTAGCTGCCACTCACCTTTATCAGCTATTGTAGCGATATGATCGGTTCAGCTGGCAACCTTCCCATTGACTGATGTTAACGAAGTTGCTTCACTTATTGAGTATTTTGCTTCAGAGACGCGTTGTTCTCTGTCGTTCAGGTCACGCGCTACTCGGCGCGTATCGTTCGTAGAAGAAGGGTACTTAAGATTCAGTCATGTGTGGTTTTCGAAAGGCACAGGACTTCGAATAGAGAGATGTTGTGAGTTGTACGGGAGGACTGGCACATGGCTGTTACAGCTGCAGCAATGGCAGAATTGGAATTTTGTTAAAGTAAAAATGTTTCTTGGAAGATGCCATACTTGTGCACCGATTTTTTCAGTTACTTTTGATGTTTGTTCCTGTACCAAATTGATATTGGTAAAGCTTTCTGCATACTGTGGGAAATTTTTGAGGTAACGCGGATAAATCGGGAATGGCGTGCGCTTCGTTTGTGGATAGTAGCAGCACATCGAGCAGTGTTTCCCAGCAGCATGTGCGGGCAAGTAGTGCTGATTTCATGGTATCTCTCTCAGTAGCATTACAATGTTCTTTTACGGTGTACAGTGTGTACGGCATTTACCAGCGGCCTGTCGAAGAAAAAAGCGATTGAGTTCGCGTAGTGGCGGTTCCTGGCAAATTTGGTAACATCCCGTGTCCCATTCTCCGACTACATTCGATCGTACAGGCCACTGCATTTTGAAAAGCAAATTTTAATCAAGCATCCGATGCTATGTTGGGTGCCCAGGAAGACCTGCAGTGGGGGCGGCTTGCGTTTAACTCCATTTCAATGACAATTGGGGTGCGTTGTGAAAGCCGAAAGAGTCACGTGGATTCGCGGCTTCCGGACCTTTTGAAAGCAATCAAATAAATTACGAACAAATCAAAAGCCAAAACTCCCTCCACTTCTCACTCGTTGGTAGAGGCTCAGGCACTCGAAAGTGGCTCAAGCAATAAGATTTTGCTAGCAACAGTTACATGCTAAACAAGTTGATCATGCTTCTCGCGTTTGGTGACTGCCTAAGATGGTTTCATGGCGTGCTGAGTAAGCAAACCAGTTTGCAGCTAAAGAAAATGAACTTATTTTAGGTGGCCTAATACTTTCACTGGTGGATTTGAAACGAACCAGATCTTGAAAATAAGCTCCGTTTACCAGTGCAGCAAACCCATCGTCATGTCTGCATGGGATCAGATTCAGAATTTGGGGATATTTAACATGCTTTCAAAAATGTTTGAGCATTGGTCGCGTTTATTCAATGGTAAATTTTGAATTAAAAAATGTGGACAAGTGTTTCAGAATGGGCAGAACATTTGTGGCAGTCCTTCGAGGAGTTGTTGTCAAAATCATGCGAAGAAAAGTTCATCTGACTTAACTCGCCAGGTACAAACTGTCTATCTTCCCGATTTAAATATTTAACCCCAGAGCATATAAGCGAGAATTAACTACAACAATGAACATATTGTTTTTACGTGTCGGTGTGTTTAGTGTCATTTCTCTGTCGGTCGAAAGTTATCCATTAGTCGCATGAGGGTACTGTTATCTTGTTTATTTACGAAATTTCGCTTCACCGTTCTACGTTTGGGTTTTTTTTCATTTGCAGCTCAAGAATGAGCTGTCCCTTTTGATGCGCCACTCGGCACGTATGTCTGACCAGCAGCAGTCGGAGCCACTACGAGTGCGGGTCATCCGTGCACATCACAATTCTATTGCTGTTGGTTATGCTCACTTTGTCTGCTGCTACAGGTGGGTAATCAGATTTCCGTCACTCCGTTTCTTTGGATTTTTAAGGAACCAACGATTACAATTATTTTTGAACTGCAGGCATGAAGTCCTCTTAAACTTCCAGCAGTTTTATTCGTTTTTCAGTTATGTTTAACTTGTCATCAGGTCGTCACAGATTAAATGATTGGCCCTTCTGGCTGTTGAGTTTTTTAAGCTAAACTTGTGCTTTTTAATGGCTTCTCTCTTTTCCCATTTTCCAAAGTAAATAATACAATAAAAATTTGTTTGCGTGAATCCTGGTGGGGGAAAGCTGCACTGACCGAATGAAACGAGAAGTGCTGTGGGATAGGCGTGGATAAGTGCGGCATATCCCGGTGAATTGTTGCTCCGTCTGTTTGGCTTATAGTTTATGTTTGAAACGATATGAGCGAGTGAGATTTGCATATCGTGTGGAGTTAAAAGGAGAAAGCGAATCAAATAACTGGCCATCGTACTGGTTTTTGCAAAGTTCCCTCGCAGATTTTTGTCGCTAACGGCATTATTTTTTTCGACAGATGCTTCCAGCTAAAAAAATTGGAACTGTCCACACAAGTGTCAGAAATTATTACTGTGACTCCCAGTCCGTGCTCAAAAAATTGAACAATCTAGGTGCCTTAGTTGTGGAGTTGCGTCAAGTTTCACGTGTTTGTACGTGAAAGGGGCGTCAGTGTGTTTCCACGTGCGTCTGTCCAAACACGGTCCTGGGCCATGGCCGAAAAATTTCAGCACTCTAGCTGATTCAGTTGCGGAGCTACGAAAAATTTGAGGTGTTCGCACGTAAAACATTTGTGAGACATGGAAGGAACATGAAAGTTGTTTTCACGTTCATCTCACCAAACGTCGCCGTCGGCAGCGCTTGGAAAGTTTCAGTCCACTGGCTGCTTCAGTTCCGAGTCACGTCTCCGTACGTGAAATGCAGAGGGGCTCGAAAGCTCAATTTACTTTCAAGGGCACATCAGTGGGTGACGAGCAGCGCTGCTAGATCATAGCTGTCTACAACTTCCTGATCAGCTTAAATGTGGAGTTGGTACTCTGCTGATTTTAACTTTGTCGTGTACGTACGTGAAACGTGGGGTTGTGTGAAGACTGAATTTAAAATATTTGGGTTGGAATTGGCCAAGGAGCATGGTGAAGTTCCAGCCTTCCAGTTTGCGCCGTTACCGAAGTTCCTTTCGCACCAAAAAAACTTTCACATGCCCGTAGTGAGAACCACGTAGACACAAGCGTCCATTTTAAGGACTGGGAGCCATATATATGTGTAGATGATCTCGTTGCTTTCGTTGTTTTCTAGATGGAATAAATAGGGACGCACACCAGAGTAGCTGGTGCGATCATGCGTTTTGCGCAGTTCCGTCCAGCGGACTTTTGCTTACCAAAAATATAACTGTTTTACATTTTCATATGTGAAAAACAGTAGATGTACTGTCTGGCTCATAAGGTGAGGAATTTTCCACTGAAAATTTCATGTGCCGGTATGTGAAATCTGAATTTGAAAACTTGGATAGGGAACATCCTTTCAAATTCCAACCTTCTGGTTTTCTGGCTTCCGAGCTAGTGACTTCCGTATCACAATTCTCACGTGGTTGTAAGATCTCTGCATACCTGGGAGCTAAGTATGAGTTTGTGAGATACCTGCACAGGCAGAAAACATCCTCCTGTAACTTCAGTTTCTTAGCTTTCATGGTTCCCGAGATAATTTTCCATCAGAACTTCCACGGGGTCGTACGTGATACCCAGTCGCACGGGAAAACTGAATTTAAATTTTCTGGGTCGCACGTGGGCAGAGGATATATCCACAGAATTTCAGTTTGCTAACTCCTCTGGTTCCTGAGATAATGATTTTACCCGCTGGAACTTTCACGTTTTACCCGCGGGGTATGGGAAGGCTGGATTTAAATTTCGGGATCACGCTTTGGCGGGGAACACTCTTCCAAAATTTCAGCCTTATAGCTTTTGTGATTCCTAATTTGAAAGCGCGGGACAAAACGCACGCACACACACAAACACACGGACAACCCCTAAAAATATACGTTTTGTTTTGCTGTTACACAATACGAAACGTATAAAAACGGTACAGACGCACACACAGATACACACAGACAACCTTTCGGTAATATGCGTTTTTGCATTGCGTAGATGCAAAAAACGCATAAAAATGCTGTTGGGTGATATCTTCGTGACACTTCACGCTAGGAAGGGTGCAGTTGACGTAGATGTTGCTTTTGAACGTCTCTGCAGAATTTCTTAAATTTGCTTGGCTCAGTGCTGAGGAGAAATGCGATTATTGGTGGCTGCAGCAATGGTGTGCAACATGTTGCTTTAGAGCAGCAAAAAAAGCAACTGAGATTTAATAAAACTGTTTAAGTTTGTGCATTCAGACTGAAGGAAAGCCTGGGCTGGCAACTGATGTGTACTTCTCCGCGCATGGATGCCGCAATCCGCCATGTTGCACTAAATACGAAATTTGGCGCGCAGAGTAGCGAGAAAATGCTTGCTGTAGCACTAGTGAACAATGCAATTCATTTATGGAACATCTCCGAAGGGCATTTCGACCTCGGAACTGAAATTGGCATGTTTCTTTTTCTTGCCTTTAAATACTGCTTGCTCCGCATATTTTTACAATTCAGTTCAACTGAAGTGCATAGTCACAGGTTATGTTTCCCGCATGATTCAGCTAGCTGTCGCTCTGACAATTCCGCTTTTCTTGTATAAATTCCGGCAGCATGACTTTTCAAGCACACAGTGAAAAAATTTTTGCGTGAATATTGGGCTGAGTCTTGAGAAGTTTGAGGATTAAAAGATGGATGAAATTTTCCCCACTTGTTTTCTTTGCAGGGACGTTTAGTCTCTCTGTTGCTATTGACAAGCTGTTCTTCATTGGAAGCCAGCTGGTGGCATTAAGCAAAATTGGCAAAGTTGGAATCTGGCATTCGATGACGCATAATTGGCAGGTCCAAGGTTGGCCATCTTATGGATTGAATGTTTTTTGGCTGGGAGCTATAGTCTTATGGCTTCATGCTTTCCACATCTTCTCCCCTTTAATGTTGTTTGATGGAGCAGCATGTAAGCACTGGAGGTACAACAGCAATTCTTTTTTGCATTTTTTCAAGCACTGCTCCGTTTAAATCACCATTTTCTTTCTCTAGCAATAGTAATAGCAGTAGCCTGATAGGTCTGTGAATTTCCATCCCATTCATTTACAGGGAAAAATAAAGCTTTTTTCGTTCAAAAGAAGAAAATTGAGTTTCCCATTCAAACGAAGGACGCTTCGTTTTTGCTGCTTCGGTGCCGAAAAGTGAATCGATTTACCCAGTTCTCTGAAAGCCGCGAATTGGGCTGTTCGCAAATGTTTTCTCTTTTTTTTGTTGATTATTTTATGATTCAGATTTGAAAAATGTTTCCAAAAAGCGATGACTTTTGGTCAGCTGTGAATCCCTCGATCGAATCAATTCCCTTTCTGATCGATCGCTTGGTTTTCTAGTTTGTTCGACTCCGAAGAAATTTCTTTAGGCTAGAAACTTCACCTTGCGACAGTTGAAGATTAGCTAGCATTTATTGAAAATGTTTATACACAGATTCGGTAGGAGGCGTGGAACCCAAGTGCGGTCGCTAGTTTAAATGGTGAAATAGATGCGTCAAATTTTAATCAGTTTGTATGCCGCAGCTGTTACTCGTGAATGTTTTATTGCTACTCTCGAACCTCAGATGTGGTACCCATATCGTGCTACGACACAGCCGGATCATTCTTGCTTCTTGGTTGTACTAATGGATCTATCTATTATATCGATATGCAAAAATTTCCATTGCGCATGAAAGACAACGATTTGTTAATAACGGAGCTTTATCGTGATCCAAATGCCGATGTTATCACTGCTATAAGTGTTTATCTGACGCCGAAAACAAGTATGCTTGCTTGTTGCTTTTAAAGGATTGCAGTTTTTAATTTTTACTTGTCAGCCGCTGTCAATTTGCAATTTGCCTTTTCCAGCTCTGTGTGGCAATTGGATCGAAATTGCTTATGGAACTTCAAGCGGTAGTGTCCGAGTAATTGTGCAGCATCCAGAAACAGTCGGTCATGGTCCACAACTTTTTCAAACTTATACTGTTCATATATCTCCTGTTACTCGCGTTGCACTGACCACTAATCATCTTATCAGCGGTAGGTACATTGGAATAATTTTTTTTGCGGCTAGTCATATTCCTGAAGCTGTCCTACGATTGATAACTCTTTAGAAGTGTGGTATAACTTGGTAGGCTGAGTTTTTTCTTTTTTTTTTTTTTATTGTCGCAGTGTTCGATTTCCTCTGCAGATAAGTGCATTTTGAATAGCATTGTGCTATGGATGAGTAAGTTAAAGGAATTAGCAAATAACAGCCCAATCAAATTTGTGTGTGCAAGCTCCGTTTGATACCTTGTTGTCTCTAGCACCGTGCTGAAATCGCTATGATTCAATGCGATAACGCGCCGAAATTAACTTGTGAGTTTCGGAATGTTTATGGATTCTTTCAGCATGTAACTACTGTTTGACATCCAAGCTTCTGACGATTATGTGCAATATTTTTGTGAAGCATTCAAAAGGGTGTTTTTCAAATTGTGTCTGACATAAAGCTCTGCACTTTTTTACGAAAAACAACAGTAACGGGGTGCAGTAACATTAAATTTTTTTTTTTTCAGTTTGCAGTGAATATAATCATGTGAGGTCATGGGGTGTAACACGTTTTCGTGGAATGATTTCAACGCAGCCCGGTAGCACATCCTTGGCATCATTTAAAGTTCTTACACTAGACAGTACTGATGATGGGCTTGATCCAGATGGAAATGATCCAGGTACTCGTCTTCTTTGTCTTTTCTCAAACCTTCACTCATACTTTGTTGTTAGCTTTTACTGATATTTTCGTACTGTTGAAAAATTACGAGATAATGTGTAAAAATTGGCGAAATTACTGCTTTTTATAATTTCGGTCCATAATCATATTCTTATAAAGACTTGTTATATTTCGACTTTCTGAATTTTGCAGGACCATTTGGTGACCAGGACGGTGAACAGGTTTTTGTGCAGCGAGTGGTACCTGAAACCAACCAAGTTTTTGTCCGACTAGCATCGAATGGCGATAGGTTAGTGTGTTTGAATAACCTTAAGTGATTTTATTTTCCACGCACTGATGTGTATTTTAATGTCACTTCACATATCTCCTCCCTTCGCACTCTGCCCAGGTTTCTTATTTACCTGTGAGCGTGCCTTGCTAGTTGTCAGTGGCTGTCGATTTCTCTGATCGACTGCCTGTGATATATTGCTTGCTAACATTGTGAACAAGCTAAGAAAATGCTAATTGGGAGAATTTTATTGGGGAGAAGAGCCAGTTCATCCACCATCTTGTTTTTATCTATGCACCACAGACCAATAGCGGCGCATACTAGGCTTGCTGATACGATTTTGCGGTTTTTTGCAGACCTTTCCCCGTAGATCCTTGGAGGCAGGTGCTAAACAAATAGGAATACACCCCGATTCGGAGTCGCTGTTATCTTTATTCTTGCTTTTACGGCGGCGGTAAGTGCCATGCGAAATTGGTTAGTTCAAAACTGCATCATATATGAGATGAGAGGAATGTGAAAGCTATTTTCACTTACACTTACCCAAGCATGGTCGTGAATCGTGCATGCAAACATCCCAGCTAGATCGGCCGCGAGATTACAAAGTTGCCAGTGGTAACTCGCATATATCCGCACATGAGATCTAGAGGGATGTGAAGTGTCGTTTCACGTACATCTGTCTAAACACGTCATAGACCATCTCAGCAAACTTCAGCGCATCGGCTGCTTTGGTTGCGGAGTTTCAAAACTGTCTGTGTCAGATTCTGCGTGTCTGTACATTGGGCCTTAGAAGAGACGTGAAGGCTCTCTTCTCGTCTACCTGCTCAAACTCGAATCATAGGCCATGCTTAAAAAATGTTAGCACTCTGGCTGCTTTGATTTGGTGAAATAACAAAGTTGTCAAGGTCAACTTTCCACATATTTATACATGAGACCTAAGAGGTAAGTGGAAGGTGTTGTAACTTACACTTGCGCAGACTCAATCATGAACTATCCTTAGAAAATTTCGGCATCCTAGCTGTTTTGGATGTGTGGTTATAAAATTGTTATCTTTAAATCGTACATGTTCGTACGTGAGGTGTTGAGGAAATGTGGAAGTTGTTTCCGCATGCATCTGTCCAAACATGGTCGTAAAACATGCGCAGAAAATTTCAGCTTTAATTGCGTAGTTCCAAATTGCCAGCAACAAGCAGCATGTGTCCGTACACGAGATGTAGGTGGAACGTGAAAGTTGTTTCATGCATTTCTGCTCAAACATAATGTTAGAATATGTCCAGAAAACTTCAACACGGTTCCGCTGGTGGCGAAGTCGCAAAATTGTCGGCGTGAAGTTACACGTATCCGTGCGCGGGATGTAGCGGAACGTGGAATCCTTTTTTAGCTTTATAGGCCTATACGTGAAGAGTAACAATAATGGTGAAATAGCATCCTACGTAGAATTGGCATGGTACCAGTTTGAGCTTTAACTTATTCATGCGTGAGATGCGTAGATGTGTGAAGGACAATTTAAGCACATGATCAGGGAAAATCCTTGTAAAGTTTTTCTCGTCTGGTCCCCGAAATCGTTCTCCCACCAAAAACCCGTACTTGGAAGCTAAAGGGATTTATCTTACTCCTGGGGACTGGTACGCATTGCCAAACACAAATGCCAAATTTTCAGCTTCGTAGGTATAGACAGTTGAAAGCACGCGTTTTTTCAAAATGCATATTGTAAACGAGTATGCTATGTGTTTGTAACATCTGCCTGCGTATTTCGATCTCCATACTCACGAGTGATAGCTGCGGAAATTCGGTTTGGCTCGTCTGCGTTGGAAGACGATTTGCAGTGACTGGCGGGTGGTGATAGAAGGGCGAAGGCGGAAGGGGGGGGGGGGAATGGGGAGTGGGATAAGGGCCTGGGCTGGTGGTTGGGTTTCGGGTGTTGTAACAGGGGGAAGGGACGGGGTTATTGATTGGAAAGATTTTTTTTTTTTTTTTTTGAGAGTTGGAATTGGAAGCACTTATGCCGGGGAGGTGGAATGTTTCCCTATGCGTCTTTATGCCATCGTTGAACTTTGTGCTGAGGAGGAATTAGCCGTTTAATATGCACATATTTTTGGACTCGAGCTCGAATAGTGGAAATCGTAGTACAGGGCTCTTTGTCTAGACAAGGTTCCAGGTATCTCGTTCGAGATTGTTAAATTTCTGTCAGCACTAGATTTCGTGCTAAGTATAAAAAGACCTTTGGGGGCGTCCACTCCCTCCCCCTCTCCCCTGTCCTTTGTTACAACTCTCAAGACCTAAGCTCGTAAAAACTGTGCCACTTAGCAACGAAAATCTGTGGAGGGAATTGTGAAAAAA